GAAATGGATGTTACAAAAGAGATGCCTACTGTGCTAAACGTGATGGATCCTAAGGGCAAAGTTTTTGAGAAATCAATTGACTATGATTAGATTCCTGAATATTGTCACACCTGCCTTCACGTTGGACATAGTTGCAGGACTATCCAGAAAGCTATAGAAGGAAACAAAAACAACAAAAATCAAAGATGGAATGGAGAAGAAGAACAGAACCAGGCAGGGTTGAAAAAGATGAAAGTGTTCCAACTGACAATGTAATACAGGCAAACAAGATAGGGGATACTGAGAATGAGCAACTACCAGAATGGGAACTAGCTAAAAGAAAATCTGCAGCTAAAAGTGGTATGGCAAGCATAAGGGGTGATGCTGGCATTAATATGGTGAATTGATTTAGTCCTCTTAGCTTTGAGATAGGGGATATAACTATGGAGAAAGGGCAATGTAGCTGCCAGGGGGATACTGGGGACCCTAAGTCTAAACAACCAAGTAAATGAGACTTATAGCTTGGAATGTGAGGGGTGTAATTAAAGTTTATAAGCAAAAAGAGGTAAAGAAGTTCATTGTAAATAATGATGTAGCACTGATAGCTATACTAGAAAATAGAGTAAAGGAAGACAATGCTGGCAGTGTAATTCAAAAAATTGCAGCTAACTGGAAATGGTATGTAAACTATGCACATAGTGTAAAAAGAAGAATATGGATTATGTGGGATCCAAACAGGTTGGAGCTTGAAGTCACTAATATGAGCTCTCAGGCTATTCATGGAATCCTTAGCATTCCTCAATTACATCTAAAACTACACTTGACAGCAGTCTATGATTTACATACTATTGAGGCAAGGAAGGAGTTATGGGAAGAATTGAAAGGGGTTAATAGGTATCTACAAAGTCCATGGTTAGTCTTTGGGGATTTCAATGCTATAACTGATTTAGAAGACAGACAGTCTGGTAACCCAGTCCAAGAGAATGAAGTAAGGGATTTCAATGAATTTATGCAAACTAGTGGCATGACAGAATTACGGGCAATAGGGAGGAAATATACTTGGTCTAATGGTCACATCTGGAGCAGGATAGACAGAGCTCTTGTGAATGCTGAATGGTTGATGACAATTGCTACTACTGAAGTAATGATTTTAAACCCTGGGATTTCAGACCATACTCCATTATGTGTCCAATTACAAAATGATGTGCAAAGAAGGCTAAAGCCTTTTAGATTCTTGAACTGCCTTGCAGATCACACAGACTTCCTAAAAGTGGTGGCTAATACCTAGTACAAGACTACAACAAAGCAGCGCATGCAAGACATCTGGTGGAAGCTAAAAGAAATGAAGAAAGAATTGAAAAAAACTGAATCATACAGAATTCGGGAATATAATGGAGAAGATGGAGTTCTATAGGCTGAAGCTACAAGATATACAAACACAAAGGGGCCATCACACTCAACCAGATCTACTGCTTGAAGAAGAGAAAGAAGTGAAGATGAAACTAGAGAAATGGAGCCTAGTGGAGGAAAGTATCCTAAAGCAGAAATCTAGGAATAAATGGTTAGGGCTAGGTGATGAGAACAATGCTTATTTCTTTGCCAGTTTAAGGAGCAGACAGACTCAGAACAGAACTAAAAGCCTTAGTGATTCTAAAGGATACATTATTCATCAACCTGAAGACATTGCAGCAGAAGTAACTAGTTTCTAGAAAACACTACTAGGGAGTGCTGCTACCCAGCTTCCAGCAATAGATCCTGAGGTAATGAGACGTGGAAATGTGCTTAATAGACATCAACAATTGCAGCTAGTGTCACAGGTTACTCATGAAGAAGTATTTCAAGCCCTTATGAGTATTGATGATCATAAAGCTCCAGGAAATGATGGATTCAATGCACTCTTTTTCAAGAAAGCTTGGAGTGTGATTGAAAACAAGGTTACTGAAGCTGTCCTCCAGTTCTTCATTGATGGACATATCTACAAAGCTATAAACTGTACAACAACTACACTAATCCCAAAGATCAATAACCCCACAAGAATATCAGAATTCAGACCAATAGCATGTTGCACTATGCTATATAAGCTGATTTCAAAAATCCTTACTACTAGGATGCAGGGGATGATGGACAGTCTTGTGGACAAAAGTCAATCACAAGATTAATCACAGACAATATCATCTTGAGTCGTGAATTGGTAAAGGGATATGGAAGGAAAGGTATCACTCCTAGATGTATGCTAAAGATAGATATGAGAAAGGCTTATGACTCAATAGAATGGCCATATGTTGAGGAAATCCTACAATGCCTCCAATTCCCAACAAAGTTTATCAGATGGATTATGTGCTGCATTTCAACTGTATCCTATTCAATTCTACTCAATGGAGAGCCACTGCCACCATTTCCAGCTAAGAAAGGTATAAGGCAAGGAGACCCCCTCTCCCCCTTCCTATTTGTGCTTGCTATGGAATACTTTAGTAGAAGTTTGAAGGGTGTCTGTGAGGACAAAAGGTTCAAATTTCATCCAAGATGCAGATTATTCAGCTTGGATTTGCATATGATCTCTTATTATTCTGCAAAGGTGAATTAGAGTCTATCACTATGCTGATCCAATGCTTCCAAAAGATCTCACAAGTGTCTGGATTGAGTGCCAATACTGAGAAAAGCTCAGTGTACTTTGGTGGTGTTCCTCAGGATATCCAACAGTTGATTCTACAGGCTACCCAATTTGGCAAGGAGGATCTACCTTTTAGGTACTTAGGAATTCCCTTGAGTACAAAAAGGCTGTCTATTATTCAATGGAAACCTCTTATAGATAAGAATCTGGCTAGAATAAAATCATGGACCACTAGATACCTATCATATGCAGAAAGAATCCAACTTGTGAAATCTGTGTTGTACTCTATTCAAGTTTACTGGTCACAGGTGTTTGTGCTGCCAAAAAAGGTTACTCAGATGATAGAAGCTACTTGCAGAAGCTTTTTGTGGACTGGAGGTAGTGATCTTAGCAAGAAAGCACTGCTTGCTTGAGATAGGTTATGTCTTCCTAAAGCTGCTGGAGGTCTAAATATATTAGACATCTATGCATGGAACTGGGCTGCTATTGGCAAACTCCTATGGAACATATGCAGGAAGAAAGATTGTTTATGGGTAAAGTGGATCCACTCTTACTATACCAAGGCAGGGGAAGTATGGGAGACTAAGACTACTCAAGCCTCATGGGTGGTACAGAAGATTATTAAAGCAAAAAACATGTTTGAAAAAATAGGTCTCAATAAAACAGATATAGCAACTATGACCAAATACTCAATAAAGGACATATATGGAGCCTGTCATGGGGAATTTCAGAAAGTGCCTTGGAGAAGATTGGTCTGCAATAGTAATGGGCAGCCTAAACGGACATTCATCTTATTCTTGGCTCTTCACAGAAGACTACAAACTAAGGAAAGGATTGCATGCTGGGCTAATTTAGATGATATGGAATGTGTGCTATGTAAACAGGAGAATGAAGATATCGACCATTTACTGTTTGAGTGTATATATGCTAAACGGGTGTGGTCAAAACTCCTACGCTTGGCAAAGTATAAGAAGAGAAGCGTGGAACTGGCAGCATGAAGTGCAATGGGCCATAGAAAATGCTACTGGGAAGACTGCCCAACAGGAGGTATATAGGATGACACTAGCTGGTGGAGTCTATCACTTATGGCAGGAAAGGAAGCAAGAATTTTCAAGGAAAGCAGCAGATCTGCAGATCAAGTGGTCAAGCAACTGATAGGAGAAATTCATGTTAGAGCTCACAGAGTTAGTAGATTGGATAGATATATGAAAGATTTGAACTTTTATCCTTAGGAAATAGAGCTATGTAGACAAGGCTTAATAGAGATGATATGCAGTAAGTTTGGGACTTTATGTCCAAACTGCTGATCTCCAGATGTGAGATGGATGTAACTGATTTTAAGATGAAATAAAATATAATATAATTACCAAAAAAAAAAAATGCTGGAGATGTACAAGTTTCAGAATTTTTTTCCAGCTTTCTAATTAATCACAAGAGTCACCTACTTAGCCGTGTTCAGGATAAAGAAAAGCAAAAACGCCAAGGGTATTATTGCCTTATAAAGCATTGCACCTTTGAACAATTAGTTTTTTTATTTATTGTTCATAGCCAAGGCAGAGCCATCTTTTAACTCCTTGCTTACCTCGTAGTTTAAGTCATGGTAGTATTTGCTTGCATAATTGATAACTGGTGTTGAACTTTTATTTGGCACAAATAATTTCTATTTAAAAAAATTAAGCTCGATTGAATCATTGTAATCGCAATTTTTTCAAGGTCACTGGTGGAGATCCCCTGCTCAAGCTTATCGCAGTTGATTGGTTCAAGGTGGATGAATGCATCACAAAGGTTGCTCTGCATCCTAAGTGTCTTGTTCAGGTAAAGAAGAATCACTTATTTCCTGACTGCATTTTGCTTCTCCTCTTAGATGAATTCATTTTGTTAGTCAAATTATTAAAGTGAATAAATTATTATATACTTCACATTAATGTACCATAGACTGAAATTTTTGCTTATCTAAATTTCTTCAAATCTTGCTGAGAGGATATGCTGTTGCTAATTATCTCCTATAGTAAACTGAAGATGCAATCGGATGGCTCCTCATATGGAGCTAACACTGGGATAGATTACGCTCAGATACCTGACTTTTTGAGGCGAATCATTCTTGACTCTTACATGATTGTTGAAATTAGAGTTACAGCAAACACTGCCTGTAGACTTATTTAGTAGTCTATCAAAAAAGAAAAAACAGAAGCATTTTTTTTAGCCTAGATCCGAATGTTTAGTCTAGAAGTCTGCAAAGAATTCAAACACCTCGCATAAATCACTCTTTTCACTATGTACCATTTTTGCTGGAGCAATAGTGAGTGGTGTGGGGACATTAATGATGCATTGCAATGCAATGCTGCAAATATATTAGATTCTTGAACTGAATTTGTCATATTCTCAACAACAAACTTAGATAGTTAACTGAATTACACACTGAATTGTGCGTAGAATATTAGTGTACTTTAAATCAATAATTCTACAGGGTACTTAAATTTACTTGAGGTACTTTAAATCTATAATTCTACAGGGTACTTAAATTTACTTGGATAACAGAATGTAAATAAGACTCAAAACAAGTCCTTGAGATCTATCCGCTTACTCCTTCCCAGATACATGTCCAATTTCCGCAAAAACTCATCAAAATAGAACGGTACTTGCCTAGGCCAACTGCTAGAGTGAATGCTTTTAATCTTCTTTTCAATCCGGCGAGCATAGTCAATACACGGAGCCCCAAACTCCAAGATTTTCTCTAATGTTTCAAGACTGTCCCTCATAAATGTTTCACTATGGCATGAAGCAATAAAATCACACAGAACCTCTATGCAGGAGATATCCACCAAGCACCTAAAGCCAAAAGTACAAGGATACAGAGAAATTTAGTAAAAATATCAGCGACGTCAGAGAGATCATCACCCCGAAAAAGAGGTTACATACTTGATATGAGCATCATTCCCACTGGCAATAGCAATATTAATTGTTGCGACAGCAGCATCAGTGATTTCTTCTACTCGATCAGGGTCTGACTTACCAACCTTCAGAGTTTGAATCAAATTGATCATTTTTTTCATAAATCCAGCCGCAATCACAGCCTGCTCACAATTACAAACTATTCAGATAAATGGCTATGGTTTCATCCAATGAGAAGTCTCACTAAAAGAAAAAGAAAAAGAAAAGAGAAAATTTGGGGGCCATTTCTATTCCAAATATACAACCAACTATTTCAATCTCATATTCACCTATTCAACTACCCCAAGAGCAAAATCTGTTAAGATCTTAGAAGGCATGAGGATAATGTACCCAGAAGCTGAATATTTTAGTTGTCCTTCTAAATATTGAAGACATACCTCTATATTCCCACACGTGACAATGCCATACATAATGCTGCAAATGTCGGTGACCACGTCTGCGTCCTCGTTGTGGTTATCAAGCAACGTCACCAGGCAACCAAGGTCGGCAGGATTGAACTGGGTGGTGAAGTTAGTTATCTTTAGTAAAAAACAAAGCAATATGCATGCCTGACACAGTTACATTTTAACAATAAAAAAAGGAAGAAAAATATTCCAGCGGTCTTTGCATAATGCACCCATCCAACAATTTTGGCACATAGCAGGTTACACCTATTCATTTTATTTAAAATCTTGTTTGGTGGGCAGCTTTAATGAATACAGAGACTATTAGAAATTAGGCATTAGAAGCTTGGGGGTGGTAGATGTAACATGAGTGTCTCCACTGTGAGGTACTAGGATTTCTTTCCATATGAAGGGCATAGGTAGATGGGAGTAAGTTTCATGAAGCTGGAAAGGTGGGAGAAGCGGTAGGGGTGTGTCGATCCTAAGCACAAGATTCGGTAGCCATTTTGATCATATGTTTTTTTGCACAGAAAAGTCAACACTAAGACAACTACTGTCGATAACGGTAGATTTACATAGGTTGCTGACTACTAGTACAATAACATGAAAAAGGGTTATTGTACTGTAAGCCTATTGAGAAAGTACAGTCATTAGCCTTATTAGTGTTTTAATACTGTAATCACACTTGCATTTTATCAACTCGTTTCTGAATTGGTGTGACAAGTTTTTTTCGGATTACAGAAAATTATGAAATTAAGAGGTCCAGTGAAAATCGAATCTTTTATCTTTAAGAGTTTTATAACTAGTGGACTCTCTTCCTGCTTTTAGATGGGTAAAAAAAAGAAAAAAAAAGATCAATAATTAAAGAAAAAAGGAAGGTATCTATATCTGTGTATACAATTTCAACATCTTTGACCTTGGAGTTTACTCCACAGCCACAAGGGTACTCTTCTATCTATCTGTATTTTTGACTTTAGAAAAAAAACTAAGGAAGACTTGGAAATTTCTTGAAATCCAAAAATAATACTCCACTATAGCATGATTGGTTACTTAGTTTTTTTTCCAGCTCTTAAAGCATATTTCTTAGACAGTTGATTTCTTTTTATTCTACTTGACTACAGCTAGTCCTCAAGTCTTGAATACATTTATTGAAAATTGCTTAATAAATTCATTTCACAATTGAGGGTAGAGTTGACTTTGTTTCAAAATGTATATATAAAGGAGTGGACACTCCTTTTTCCTCACATTCATGACCTCATTTGCTACTTGCATATGCTCTTTCACAAACAAGCAAAAAAAAAAAAATGGATACCAAAGAACACTACAAACCAATTTATTTGCTTCTGATTTGTCTATCAACTATCCTGCATCAAACCTTAGCTTTTGGATCAACACCAAGTGCAAAAGTTTTGTGCATAAAGAAGGAGAGGGAAGCTCTTCTTGAGTTCAAACGAGGTCTCATAGACGAAAATAATTTGCTTTCTTCATGGAAAAATGATGAAGATAATGAGGAATGTTGTTCTTGGAGGGGTGTGAAATGCAGTAACACAACTGGCCATATACTCGTCCTCAATCTTCGTGGGAGTATTGAATCCAATCCTGATGATACTAAGGATCTCACATTGAGAGGTAACATCAGTTCTTCATTGGTTAAGTTGCATGAACCTTAGTTTCAATGACTTTGGTGGCCAAATACCAAGATTTATTGGATACTTCAAAAGACTAGAGTACTTAAATCTCTCATATAGTTACAATCGTTTCACTGGTCTAATTCCCCCTTAGTTCCAAAATCTTACCTACTTAAGGGCTCTTGATCTTGGTGGCAATTCTTTAACATGCAAGAACCTTGAGTGGCTTCCTCATCTAATGTATTTGGAGTTCTTAGATTTGAGTGCATCCAATGTGCAAGCTACAAATTGGTTACAGCAGGTGATCAAGCTCCCTAATTTGAGGGAATTGCATTTATCTTCCTGTCATAATCATTCCTTCATCATTTGTATCAGCAAATATTTCCTCCTCTCGTCTTTCCGTCCTTGACATCTCCTATAATGGATATTCATCTCCTGCAATATATAGTTGGTTATTTAACTTCACTAGTCTTACTAGCCTAGATCTTTCGGGCAATAATTTAGGTCAAATTGTTAGTGCCTTTGGGTACTTGAAATCTTTGGAACATCTTAGGCTATATGGAAGTGGTATTCAAGGTGGGATACCAAAGTCTGTTGAGAATTTAAGTCACTTATGCTCTCTTGATGCAAGATCCAATAACTTAAGTCAACCATTTTCTGAGTTGCTTAATATCTTGTCAGGGAGTAATAGATCACTTGAATTTTTGTCTTTTGAGGACAATGCACTCACTGGTTCATTGATTAATCTTACTATATTTTCATCCTTGAGGGAATTGAGGCTACGAAACAATTTGCTGAATGGCATTTTCCATGAAAGCTTTAGACAAATTTCCAGTCTTGAATATCTTGATTTGTCTAATAGCCAAATGACAGGGCCATTACCAGACTTGGCATTATTTCCGTCTCTGAAAGAGTTGCGTCTCGGGGGTAATCATTTTAATGGGGAAGCTTTTCGACCTTGAAAGTTTTGATACTCCTTATAATTTGTTAGAAGGTACAATCTCTGAAGCCCATCTTTCTAACCTTTGCAACCTGAAAAGTTTAAATTTGACTTCCAACCCCTTGACTTGGAATGTTAGCCTTGTTTGGGTTCCATGTTTTCAACTACAAGTTATTGGCCTTTCATCTTGTAATCTTGGGCCTCTTTTTCCAAAATGGCTTGAAACTCAAAATAGCTACTCAATTCTGGATATCTCTCTTAATAGTATCTCGGACACAACGCCTAGTTGGTTTTCAAAGTTGCCTCCCATGTTATCATATTGTCACGACCCCCGTTCACCCTCCATGAACATGTCGTGATGACACCTAGTTCCTACAACTAGGTAAGCCTAACAGTGCGGAAATAACTATTTAACTTGAGGAATAATCAATTAAGACTGAACATATGAAAAATAACAACTGAATATAAGGCCGCCCGGCCTATACAACTCTAAAGATATGCGGAAGTCTACAACTCAATCCCAAAACCCGGAAACTCACGGAAAACACAGGCTAATAGAATTACCATAAGTACTCTAATCTCCAGAATATCTACATCAAAAGTATGATAGGATAACAGCTCTACAACTAGAATAAGGAAGAAGACTCTTCGGTCTACGGACGCTGCAGATATACCTCGAACTCTCCGTGTGTCTCCTCGCCTCAAGGATAGTGCGCCTGAGAAGAGGTACCTGGATCTGCACATGAAAAACATGCGCAGGAAGGGCATGAGTACACCACAGCGGTACTCAGTAAGTGCCAAGCCTAACCTCGGTTGGGTAGTGACGAGGAAGGTCAGGGCCTTACTGAGGTAAAATATAATATTAATTAACAGTATGAAAATCTGACAGAAATAATGAGTACAACAGTGAGATAAGACAGGCTAACGAAATAATAGCAACTACACAAGGAACGAAATGAACACAGAAGGACTACAGCTCAATACCAAGAATAACAATGAGGGTCTCCCAGGATACCGTCCTGCAGCCCTTTTCTCAATTGTCCAGTGGATCTCCCGGGATACCGTCCCGTAGTCCAACTCATGTGCCAAACCGAAGGATCTCCCGGGATACCGTCCCGTAGTCCAACCATCAATATGCAGGGGGGATCTATCGGGAATCTAACCCGCAGTCCCAAAGTAAAAGTGCAGGGGGATCTACCGGGAATCGAACCCGTAGTCCCAAAGTAAAAGTGCAGGGGGATCTACCGGGAATCGAACCCGTAGTCCCAAAATAAACAAACAGGGGGAAGGGGGAAGCTACCAGAATCCCACATCCGTAGTCCCAATGTAAATGCGCAACCACAGCCAGAAATATACCAAGGAATGAAGTACGAAATACAACACAGGTAGAACTAGCCTAGCATGCTTCACGTAGAACAGTCAAAACGACTCAAGCAATTAGGCAATCAAGTCAACTAAACATGTTTTTCCTAATCTAGCACAAGTTATAATTTCAAGTAGAATAAGGCAAGTAAGAAAGAAACCAAATCTCAATAACTTAAGTAAAACCGGATTTTCCATCAATCGGCTCAAGTACGCGGCCGTCACCTCACGTACAAGGCACTCAAATATCAAGTAACAATCCTAAGGGGAAAAGTCCCCCACACAATAGACAAGCCACTTACCTCGAATCGGCACCAAAATCAACTCGAAATCACACTTTTGCCACGAGTATCCGACTCCAAATGACCCAAATCTATTCGATTCAATTACATGTCGTAAGTAATATTGCAAACAACAGATTCCACTATTAAATTTAAAGCTAAGGCGCGAAAATAGGTAAAATGACCAAAACGCCCCTCAGGCCAATGTCTCGGAATCGAATAATTTTTACATTTTCAGAACCCTCGTACTCTCACGAGTCTAACCATATAAAAATCTCCCAAATCGGAGGTTAAATGCCCACTCAAAATCCAAAAGTTAGGTCTAAGAAGTTCTCTGCAAACTATCCAATTTTTTATCCTAAATTCGAATTCTAATGATGGATTTAACTAGATATTGATGCAATACAACTAAATAGGATTAAGAAAATGTTACCCAATGATCTTCTCTTCAAAACCCTCCAAGAATCGCCATCTCCCGAGCTCTCAATTGATTTTTCTATCTTTTGAACTCAACCCTCGAATTTCTTATTTCTGAACAGGGATTACCGCTTCTGCGGCCAAGGGACCGCTTCTGCGGTCCCGCTTATGCGGAATCCAAGCCGCTTCTGCGGTCTCTTTAAAAATCCGATCTTCCGCTTCTGCGGTTCCCATCTCGCAGAAGCGGGCCCGTTTCTGCGAAAATCCTGCCGCTTCTGCGGTTCCTGAGGAGGATGCCCCTACTCGCTTCTGCGGTGACCAAGGCCGCTTCTGCGGCTCCGCTCCTGCGGTTCCCAAGCCTCAGAAGCGAAAAGATACCAGAAGCAGCAGAACTGCTACCTCTCAACTTCCAAAATTCTTCCGTCGCTCATCCGAAACCATCCCGAGGCCCCCGGGACCTCAACCAAAATCACCAATACCACCTAATACCTTATTCAAGCTTGTACCAATCCTTAAAACACCTAAAACAACACCCAAAACCCGATTTAATCAATGATTCAAGCCTAAGAACTTCAAATTTCTTCCAAATACGCTTTCGATCAAAAACCTAACCAAAACACGTCCGAATGACCTGAAACTTTGCACACACATCCCAAACGACATGATGGAGCTACTACAACTTCCGGAATTCCATTCCGGCCCTCGGATCAAAAATTCACTATCGGACCGGAAACTTCAAAAATTCAAACTTCGGTATTTCAAGCCTAAATGAGCTACGGACTTCCAAAATACATTCCGAATACGCTCCCAATCCCGAAATCACCTAAATAGGTGTGTAAGAGCGGTTCTATTAAAAGGATTAGTGGTATGTGATTTGGGGGATTACGCGTATTGTGATGTTGAATATGTTCTCTCTCATTTCTGCTCTGTATCACTGATTCCCTCATCCCCTTCTATATTGGACTCTGTTTCTCACCTCTGTCTTCTTATTAGTTCTTCTCCTTGTAATTCTGTTTAGTAAGGGCAATACTACAAGTGAGTTTACTTGTGTGCGAATTGGTTATTTCTAGTTTGTTACATTAGACCTAACTTCTCCAGCATGAAGACTCCTTGTGATATCAACCAAGTTCGAGAGTCGTGAGCCTGGACCATGATTAGTCATACTCGTATCAACCAATTTCCGGACCCGTGACGTCCCTGCCAGCTGCCGATTGATATCATCCGACCAAACATCCTTCACCCATGATGTCTTCTGTAAACCAACAATTCATTATTAAATCAGCATAAACTAATGGATTTATATATCAGAAATAAATCAGAATCTGCTAGCAAAATTCAGCATTGCAGACAAAGCATGTAAGCGAACACAAGACTCTTCATTATCAATTCAAAAATTGATAAAACAAGACCCAACCAGGAGCTTCGTAGTTTCTCGCTTCGTCTTTCGAATCTTTCAGATCTTAAGAGTCACAGTAGCACTTCTTAGTTTATCAACAGGCATCTTCGTAAAAACCCTAGTTAGGGCAAAAGCACCGAGCAATTACAGTAGCTCCTTTTAAACCTTTTGGTTGTATTGACCGAGATATCCCGCTGTTATAAAATCCAAAAACCTAAACCCCTTTGCATTTAACAAGAAATGTTTTCCTTATTTAAACCATATATGTAAAAAGAAATTACTAGCAAAGTCAAAGTAGGAAACTAGCGTGTACTTAGAGTCGGACTCCTTTAAGGTTTAGGAGTGTTGTCATTGTCATAGAATTATTGTCTTTGTCTTTAGAATTTTACTACTTTAGTAAACATAAATAATCTATCTATCTATCTATAATTAAAAGCAGAAGAAAAAACATTCTCATTTCGCCAAGTGGCACCATCAGAATATGCCACTTGGCATTTTAGGACAATCCTCCAAAAAAATAGGAGCTATAAAATTATTTTAAAACAAATCCTTCCCAATTTCAGATTTCTTTATTTTTAAAAAGTTAAATATTTCTTTATTTATAAAAAATCAACTGATTTTAAAACATACTTTTTTTACTCTTTAACTTTGAACCATGAAGAGCCGACTTTTTTTTAACACAGCTTTATTTGATTCAAAATTTCAGCTTTATTTTTTTTAATGTTAACTAAGTTTAAAACATACATTTAAAAAAATTATTTGATCATCTACTTTTAAACTATGAAGACCGTAAGAGTTTTTTTTTTTAAAAAGAAAAGTACTTTATTTAATTCATATTTCATATTTCATTATATTAAGAAACTAACTGATTTTAAACAAACGTGTTTACTTAAAAAAGAAAACTGCTTTCCCTAAATTTCCTCTGCAAACCCACATTGATAGTGGGCAGTCCCTCAACCATAACATACCCACGATTGAAGCCAAAACCACGGCTGAAACCATTTGGAACTGTTCCAAACTGCGTTCAACTTCTATGGTACTCGGAGCATTTTGTAAGGGAGAAATGGATCGACATTGAAAATGCGAAAATCCTCTGTGAAAAGCCGTATAGAGGGTGTGAACCACCTTCAGAAATGTCGACACCTTGTCCATCAGTACCTTGATTCCACTCGTGGTGTTGGCTGGGGCAAAGACCTTCGTTCCCTGCTCTTCATGGTCCAAAGGTTGAAGCTTTAGGATCGGAACGATCATTTTTGTTCATTCGATTTCTCGGGTGAGATTCTCTTTCTATAAAGTGGAGAGTTTGATGGATTACCAACGGATCGGCCTCATTCTTTTGCTATTTTTGGTAATTTGCTCCACTAAGAAGTAAAAGACCTGTTTTGTTATAAAAGTATAAATGTAAAGATGCCAATAGTTTGCATTGGCTTTTAACTTCAGATTTTATTTTTCTTGGGACATATATATCATATGATGGAAATAATTAAGCAACCGGTGAAAATATAACTGGGAAGAAGCCAATAGTTGCATTGGCTTTTGACCTCGGCTTTTGTTATTGTTGGAAAC